TGTCTGTTGGTATTAGTAAAAGGATCTTCTCTCTCTACTGCTTGTGCCTTTGTGTGAAGAGTGTCACGATGAATGAGGGCATCTGCATATGGATGGATGGATGTACAACAGTATCACTGTGATGATATTTTTTTTTAAAGTGGGTTGCCTCTAGTTTTCATTTTTAAATTTTTATATATTTATTTTTTAGTACTGGGGATCAAACTCTGGACCTTGCACTTGTGAGGCAGGCATGGCGCTGCTAAGCTAAATCCTCAGCCCCTACTGTGATAATTTTTATAAAATATTTAGAAACCAACCAGAGAGGCTGATGATACTCTTACATTGTAGTATATCCACACAATAAAGAACTCTGTAACCAGGAATGTTAAGGATGATTTTGAAAATATTTAATGGTGTGGGAAAACATACTCTAAAAGCAGTATGTAAAACTGTATTATGTATCTAAGTAAAATAATGTATATTATAAATCAGAAACTAGTTAAGTAGTTGAGGTGGAAGAATTTTCATTTTCATCTTTGTGCTTTTATTTTCCAAATATTAGGCAATAACCATGTAATAGCCATATTTTATAACTTGAAAATACAAAGAATTGCTATTAAATACAGCAAAGTCAGTGTCATGGATAGAAAATTTATGTATACACTCAAGCTTTGTTTGAAATTTATTTTATCTCTTTTTAGGGGTGACAGACGGTTTGAAAAACCAGGGCGAAAAGATGTAGGTAAGGTTCTTATGTTGAAATTTTTCCTGGACCTCCATGGTATCGGTGCTTAACAAGGTTCATACATAAGGACAAAGAGTGAAAATTGACTCAGTTACCTATGCCTCTCCAGTAGATGGGGTTATAGCATTGCTTGCATTTGTAATTTTGTGGTTATTTAAGGTCTCCATTGCATGATACCAGAGGGCAGAAATACAGTCATTAGGATTTACTTGAGTTAACTACAAGTGTTCTTAGTTTAATAGTTATTTTGCTTTTTTTTCTGTGTATATACTGTGGTTTTTTGTTTTGGGATCAGAGTAGTCAAATAAATTAGGGTATCTACTAAAGAGGATAAAGGAGGGCTGGCGATGTAGTGCAGTGGCACCGTGCGTGCCTGGCGAGCGCAAGGTTCTGAGTTCGATCCCGGATACCATGGGGGCGAGGGGAGAGGATAAAGGATTAGGATTTCTACAGTAAAGAGCATTTCAATATTTATGATGAATTATAATTTATGTAAAAGAATTTATAAGATGGGCTTTCTGACTCATTAGGGGTACTACCTTATAAACTACCTGTAGATAATAGTATCTGATAGAAAAAAGAATTTATAGTGCCATTAAATTATGAGAATAACCACACAGTTTCCAGATTTCTACAGGTAACAGAAGAGTTCTCTAGAGCTGTGATTTTATCTGATAGTGGAAAATGTTTCATAAACATGTTAGGTGTATAAACATCATTCACAGACTGATTTGCAGATTGTCGTGAAAACTAAGTACAGTAGTAATAATAATCAATTGTCCTTCTCTGTTTCCATGTCAAACTCATTTAAACTTGTCAGTGATTTAACTTCCTTATTCACTAGCCTGGCCTTACTTTTCACATTTGAAAAGACATTAAATGAGTGCAGCATGAAGAAATTTCATTCAGACTGGGTAAGGTATCAACTTCATCAGAATTGTAGACTGTTGGATGAGTAGTATATTGAGGGAATTATTGAGACCTCTGCTTTCATCCTTGCCTGATTTAATACTTTTGTCGGGGCGTATGGACAATGAAAGTTGGTTTAAAGAGTACAGAATTTGGAAGCAGAAGGTCATGGATATTCTAAACTCTCAGATATTCATTAATGGCATCATAAAATGAGGTGGTAATTCCTTACAGAATTTTTAGGATTAACATGTTAGTAAGTGCCACATAGAACAGAGTTTTTTTGTGTGTTTGTTTGTTTGTTTGTTTTGGTCCTGGGGATCAAACTCGGGACCTTGCGCTTTCTAGGCAGGTGGCTGAACCACTGAGCTGAATCCCCGGCCCAGGATTAACATGTTTATGATGGGGTATAATCCGTATGTCTTGCTGCTGAGTGGCTTGACCCACCAGTGGTACATGCATGACTGTCCTATCAGATGGCTTTTTAATCAATTTTATTAGTAAAAGTGATCAGATCAATTTGTACCACCAGTGGTGCAAGGTGCCTGATGGGACAGTCATGTATATCCACCAGTGTTCAAGGTACCAGAAACGTGTTAAATTAAGAGTATATGAACCCATTATTCATTTAACAAATACTGAATTTCTACTATGTTCAAGACCTTGTGCTGGGTACTAATTAATATCCCTTTCTTTGGTATGTTGGCTTGATTTTGAAATCTTTCAGTGCTTTTTGTTTGTTTTTGAGACAGCGCGTCTCTATGTAGTTCAGTCTGGCTTTGAACTCAGTATGTAGCCCAGGCTGGCCTTGGATTTGTGGTGTTCCTTTGCCTCAGCTTCCCGAATGCTGGGATACAGGCGTATGTCACCACACCTGCCTTCAAATCTTTCAGTTTTGAGAGGTATAGCTGTGGAGTCGGACAGTTTGGACTTGGGATTAGAATTAAGGCGTAGAACAAGAGACCAGGTCTAATTAAATGGAAGTTTAATTGCAGAAAATTTGGTCATATGAAACTCTAAACTACAGAATTTAAAATACCGAGTATCTGTGTGTAACAGCATTCAAGGAAGGGGTCAGCTCTCAGCTGATTCTGTGCTTCGTGTTGATCAGCAACATGCAGTATTTCTTAGATCTAAGTTATCCTTGATGAATCAGATGACGGAGAGACCTATTACTGTATCTTTTATTTTGTCACAGGACAGCCTAAGGATTTTGTTCATTTCTGAAGCCACATCTTGAAAGGTTCTGCACATTGGAATAGGTGGCCAGGGCATTTAGCCTTGGGATCGGAACTGCATAGAGGAAGTGGGGTGATTTGGATAGGGGTCTTGACTGTAGGCAGGACAGGGTGAGGAGAAGGGTTTCTGGGGTCACTTGCCTGTAAATGCTTGCTTAACGATCTTGTGAAAGGGGAATGAGACGTGACCTGTGTGAGTCTCAAGGGGAGACGGGCTGAATGATGGAAGGCTCAAGGAGCCAGATATTTAACACATTCTTGAAAAGTTTTAATAAGAGTTTGTCTGAAAATGACTGGGTTGCCTTGGCAAAGTAGTAAGTTCCCTGGATGAGAGTAGCTTGATTTTTAATTCTGACAAAGTCATATTTTGGTGGTGGGAATAGAGTATAAACTTTTTTCCATCATTGTTTGTGGTTTTCATATAAATCCAATTAATTTTCCTGGCCACTCTACTAAAAGTAAAGGTTCTTTTCTTTGATCTTCCCCATGTATGTCTGGGTTTTTTCCCTCTCTCTCTTTTTCTGTGTGTCTCTCTCTCTTTATTTCAAGACAGGGTCTTGCTTTGTAGTGCACGATGGCCCTAAACTAACTTTGTAGCCCAGGCCTGCCTTGAAGTTGGAGTGATACTCTTGCCTCAGCTTCCTGAGTGCTAGGATTATAGGCATGTGCCACCCCGCCTGGCTCTCTCCATGTATGTCCTTCAAAAGGTGAATTGCATGAAACTAAATTGCCATGAAGCATAAGATTAAGGAGGCTAATAGGTTAATAACTATTAATAGTTAAGTACTAATACTTATTAATATACTAATAGCTACACTAAAATATGGTAATTGCTGCACATATACACACATACACTCGTACAGTGGCTTTTATTGAATGCTTTTTATGAGATGTTCACTCAGGTTAACTGTACTAAGAATTCTGATTTTTTTGGTAAATAATCTACTATTTTTGAAAGTAATGTAGATTTTAAAATTGCTCATAATTAATATTAATGTTCCTAGAATAGCAGCATAAGCTAATTTGTTGAGACACAACTGATATTTGATCAATTGTGAGATATCCTATAACATCAAATTAAGAAAATTCAGTTACTGAAGATTCTGGAATGTCTTCTTCCTTTAAATTGGAGACAGTTTATATCATGTATTTGCCTCTGTGTGTGTGCATGTGTGTGCGTGTGTGCATTCATGTGCGCATGTGATGCTGGGGATCAAGCCAGTGCTTTGCCACTGGCCTGCGCTCCCTGCCCCTGCTTTTGCTTTCTATGGGTGGATCACAAACTTCTGGGTAAGAATCATCATCCCTTATAGGGGAGATCAGTTCTTGTGATCATTTTGTGAAACAGTTCTGTGAGGTTGAAATTAAAGGACCATTAAAAGAATAAGTGATCCTTATGATATGAGCCAAGTGTTACATGGATTAGTACATTTTGGTGTGAAATACTTTGAACTAATGTAGAAATTTTGGTTAAAGACTTTCTGGCAATTGTTAATACGAGCTTTTAACATACATAAATACTAGGGCTAGGGCCTTATGACTTTCAGTAGCTACTTTAGTTTGCTAGACCTGCTATGTTGTGTGTGTCAGTTTCCAGCAGTGCTTTACATTAGTTCCAGTTGGTCTTCCTGAGCATGTGTGTGAGGTCCCTGGTGGCCCAGCTGAAGTGAGTGCACAGCCTGGGAAGGGAGAGTTGTCACTCTGCAAAGCTGTAACTGCTCTCTTCTTCCCATTTGTTCTCCATTTTCCAGAAAGGACAGGTGGTCTCTGCAGAAAACGTAATCTTTAATCTAGAAACTGAGATTCTTTGAAATAAGTGAAAGAATTATTAGCAGTGCACCCAAAGTTTTTAAAATCACATTTCGTAGTTGTAAAATATTTATTAAATAGCATTAGTTTATCAACAGTTTTTCCCCCGAGTGTTTAGGGGAAGTCACATTTAGTTTTCAGACACCGCTTTTATGTGTGAGCAGTAAGTACGACGTGAGGCTCATCTGACTTGAGTTGGGTATATGCAGCATCTACAGGGAGACTCCAATCCCAGGGCTTACACACTCACCTGTGCTTAACTGTTGAGGCTATGATCTGTGCGATATGGTGCACTTAGGAAAAAGCATACCATGGGACTCTTTGGTACTACTTTATTTTCTTGTTAATTTATCATAGAAATAAGAATTTCTGCTATCTTTATGTGTTTACAATAGTCTTGAATTGGAAAAAATCTGTTGGTCTGACTAGTAAAGAATGAAAGTCTTAAGATTTTTAAACAGCAGAAGTTCACAATAATTAGGTTCTCATGTTCTTGATAGCCTCCTATCGTCAGTCTTAGACCACTCCAAAATTCTTCGTTTTTTTCTTTTCCTTCTGGTTAAAGAGCAGAAAAATGTGACTTGCTGCTGTGCCCTGCTCTTCACAGTTGCTCGCCTTTACTCAGCTAGTATTCATTCCAAGAGATGATTCCTGCCTGGGTTGTCACCAGTGGGGAAGGTTAATCTTTCCCTTTTCCCACATAGGCCTGAATAAGGGAAATTTTACAAAAGAAGAGCAGCTACAAATCTGAAATGTGATACACTGAATTTTTTGGTTCTTGTTTTGCTTGAGGATAATTTTATTTTTTTAATTAAAAAGAAAATTATTCAAAGAAATGTCCTAAATTAAGCTGTATATAAGAGGAGATAGTCTTCATCTTAGCATGTATAAAATAAAAACTGAGGCAGAGAGAGCATAATTTCAAGGAGTATTAGACTTGGAAAGAAATAATAGAGATCATCTAGTCCAACCTCCTACTGGTGAATAAACACTCATTTTGTGTTTATAGAAAAAACTATTTGATGTTGGAAACAGGAATTTCGGTTTGAAAATACTTTGTTGCATGATTATTTTTTGCCTTATCTATGGGAGATTTTTCCTAGCTGATTTATATCTAACTAAACCTTTATATCTATAAAACTTAAATATATATTTGTATTTATGAATTATTTAGACCTGTCATGGTTTTTTTGTCATTGAGTGGGTCATAGGAAGGAAGAGAACATGCTTGTGTTTTGATGTCATGTTCAGATGCTCTTAGGGTTATATATAACTCTATAATGTGTTGTTTTTCTTTTGAATTTTTGTTAGCTGTTAAAAATGAAGGAGGCAGTACTTACCCCAGTTTTGTAGTATAAAGAATCAAAGGAATGATCTTTGCTATCTTGAAAAAATAGCAATTGTAAAAGGATGTTCACTCAACATTGTGAAATCGTCTTCTACCCCAGGAGCTAGGTTTGGAACTAGACTGTTGCTTCAATTTGCAGATGAAATGAGAGATTTATGCTTGATTTTCTTAGAGTTCCATGATGTTCAACTAATGTCCATTTTACCTTCATTTCTAGTGTCATACTACATCCTTAGAAACTGACCAGCAGCATTTCTGTATAAATATATCTGTCAAGTTGAGTCTCACTGATCTCAGTAGGTAACCACAGACACAAATTTTGTAAGGTAGAATGTTTTGTTTTCAAAATGTGTATCATTAGTTCAGCCTTTTTTTTTTGTAGGCACAGACATGATTGCCACAATGTACTCAGAAGTAATCAGCATTGAGAAAAAAGAAAACATGAGATATAGCAAAGGAAAAGTAGCTGCATAACTGGCTGGGTATATTTACTACATTAAAAATAGGATGTCATTGATAAGTTTTACTCTGTCAGTCCTGTTTCTGAGATCTGAAAATTGTCAATGCTTTGTCCATTGATACGGATGTCTAGGTCAGTCCTGTGTGGGCTCTTAGAGACCAGAGGAGTTGGAAGTTCAGGAACAGTCTTGTCAAAATTCTCCATCTTGACCTGATATTCACCTTTGGAACCTCGGGTCAACAGGGATGCAAAACAGTGATGTAACATGATCTCTGACGGTAGGTAGGACGTCCTCCTTTGGCAGATTTCTCCAGTGCCTTCCTGCATTGCTGATAGGAACACAACTAATTCAAAGTGGGGAGGATTTTCATGCTGGAGCAGAGTAGCCAGAGGACTCGATGGTGTAATAGAGTGGTGGTAGGTTAGTGGAAAGATAAAGAACGGACATTCCTCTGAACTGATGCCATCAAGGTGGAAGTCCACGCTGGTCTGGAGGAGTTCACCACTTTCTCTTTCCTGATAGAGAACAGCTGAGACCCGGACACTGGTTAGAGGGCTCGGTCGGGTGTTGGCCACTTGAAAGATAAGATTAGGTTTGCCGTCTATGTGCGCTACCACTGCTAAGTCAGTAAAACGAATTGAGAAAGCTCGATTCTTTGGCCGGGCAATCTTCGCCACAAATGCACCTAAATTAGAAACCATTTTTTAAGAATGAAAATTTGAAATATCAATACCTTTTCTGAGAAGAGTATCAAATAGTTAAACAATTCTTGGTGCTCTGCTTTCCAATAGTCAGGGATTCAACTCATTGTTTAATTTTGGGTAGTTTCCTTGGCTTGCAGAAGTTTTTAGAGTATACATACATTTCTGTTAAGAAACCATGATTTTAGTATGGTAAGCAAAATTGATATTGTTGCATGGAAATGTAAAACTTTATCCTCTACTACTGTATCTTACAAAGTCAAAGAATTGGACATATCCTGTATTCATCTCTCTGTTTAACAGAAAAAAGTAATAGAGAACAAATGCAGTTTAGTTACAACCGGATAACTTCAAGATGAAGTAGAGACTAGACTCGAGTAGAATGATTTGGGGTAGGAGGAGTTATCTCTCGAAGAAGTTTTTTTTTGTACTGGGGATTGAACTCGGGGCCTTGTGCTTGTGAGGCAGGCGGCAGCACCACTGAGCTAAATCCCTGGCCCTTTGAAGAAGGTTTTAACTTTGAAACTTATATAAAACTTTTTATTGGGGGAACTCTTAGATGATTTCAGCACACATTTTAAGTACATCCTCCTGTGCCCTCTATATAGATGAAGGCTTCTTAGATGAAGGTTTCTTAATCACTAGGTGCAGCAGAGCCTGTTGGCAGGTTGAGCTTACTAGAGTTATGTTTTAAATGGCTTAAGAGTAATAAATACATACAGAGAAGACCAAATATATTGAAATTCAACTGAACATTTAAAAAAGTATAGTATTATGTGTACTTTACTGATGCATTAAATAATAAAATTTAGCCATGGGTTTAAATATGGTGATTCTGAAGTATTGTAGTTTAATGTGAAAATATCTGTGATTTCGATTTTTATCAAAGTTACTAGTAGTGCTGATGCTTACACACACTCCTCCGCTCCCTCCCTCCCTCCCTCCCGTCCTTCCCTCCTCTCCTTCCCTCCTTCCTTTCTTTTTCCTGTTTTGGCTGTACTGGAGATTCAACCTAGGATCTCTGCACTGAGCTACATCCCAGTTCTGTTTTTATTTTGAGACAGGATCTCATTAAGTTGCAGAGTTACCCGGACGGGGCTTGAATTTCCACCCCTTTTGCTTCAGCTTCCCACAGAGTTCTGGGATTATAGGCATGTGCCACCATGCCTACCTTCTCCCCCCGCCCCCCACATTCATAATAGAAAGAAGTGTGTCAAATTCACTTAGGGGTTAGTACAAAAAGTTGTGAGATTTCCTCATCTAAATTTACAGGTCCCTTAAATTTATCCAAGAAGTGACCCAGGATAAGAACTCTTATAGAAGTTAAGAATTTGTTTTAGGTTGGAGAGCTGATTGTTGGCACACTGGGACTTCATTCCAGATCACTGTTCATGTGGTATGGTAGTTCTCAGGTTATTATTGGCTAGTATGTTAAAGCCAGGTTTTCTTTTTTAAAAATTGTATGTATGTCATATAAAAAGGGCATCAGCTCTACTTTATTAGAGGAAAGAGTCTTAGATGCTGCCAGGTGCATTTTTTGATTTTGCTTTTTTTTTTTCTGGTACCAGGGATCAAACTTAGGTCCATGTGCTTGTGAGGCAGGCCTGGCACCACTGAGCTAAATCCTCGGCCCAATTTTGCTTTTTTGAGATAGTGTTTGCTAAGTCACTAAGGTACCTAGGCTGGGCTTCAATGTGCCATCCTGTCTCAGTTTCCCAGAGTTCTGGGATAGGAGGTATGCACTACCACATTCAGCTAGCTACCAGTTGTATAAGCAACATTTCCTACTCTTTATAGCCATATCTCCAGTGTATTTTGGGTGTTCTCCAGCATATAATGTTGGCTGTGCTGCTGAGGGCTCACTGGTGTTGGGTAAAATGATCTCAGGAAAAATTCTAGCACAGTGAAGAAGGGCAAAAAAAAATCAAATTCCTCTATTAGGTAACACAACTGTCAAAATATGCATTGAACATGTTTATTCAGTTATTTAACAAAATGATTAGCTTCTGTGAAAAACTTTGAGACCTTTTGTCAATTTTTTTTTGGTATCGGGGATTGAACTCGGGACCTTGCGCTTTCGAGGCAGGCGGCAGAACCACCAAGCTAAATCCCCGTCTGTCAGTTTCTTTTTGGCATAGGATGTTCCTGCAAGTTCGTGTCATAATGGCCCTCTTTTCTCTTAAGTAGATCCAGTAGGTAAACTTTTAAGTATGTCACATTCCTTATACATTTCTGTTGTTTGGCCCTAGACCATTTCTTCTTTAGGTATTACTTGCTAATAATACAAATAAATTATTCTGTAACAGAATTGCTTATAACTGACAATACCCTTTTTAGAATGCTTGCTGTTATTTTTAAGAACAAAGACAAGTTACCTGTGATAAAAGCCTCTAGCATGAGGCCCAGGAGCATTTGTATGGCAAGTAAGGCGATTGCACTTGGACAGTCACCACTGGGGAACATGGTACCATAACCAATTGTGAGTTGCGTCTCCAGGGAGAAGGAAAATGCAGCTGTGAAACTGGTGATGTACTTGACACAGATAGTGTGGTTTTCAGGTGGGGCATCGTGATCTAATTCCAGATCACCATTCATTTCTGCTAGAACATACCAGAGCACTGCAAAGACAAGCCAGTGGAGAACAAAAGAAGCAGAAAAGACTAGCATCATCCAGCGCCAGCGCATGTCTATTAGGATTCCCCATGCATCTCGGAGATATGCAAGACCTCTTTGAGCGCCATCCATTTGCAGGGTGCTGTGGCCATCTTTGGTGACCATCCTTCGGTATCTCTGACTTAGGAGAGGAGCAATAACTTTGCAGTTACTGCTGTCCATCTCAGGCTGTGATTCTCTGAAATTAAGAATGAAGTAGTCAGCCCTTAGTTGTTTTACAGTTAATATTCATGAATTCTAAATCTCCTTTTTGCTTCCTTGAGAATGTTTCTCTGACTACAACTTGAGCAGGTTTTCAATTTGTTTATATAAGGGCACACTTACTGACCAAGTCATATTCATTTGCTAGCTAATCATGTGTTACCTTAGGATGTCTATTGTCATTTCCTTGAATGAGTATTAAGATGTCGATACTTTTAACATTTTCACAGTATGTTTTAGAATTCTTGAGGTTGAGGTTTATAATTTCTTCCTCTTTAATGATCCTGTATCATCTCTGTACAAGTCCAGGCATCAAGTATTTATTGATCTGATCAACTATTATGTATAAATAACAATCCCCTTCCCGCCTTTTGAGACAGGGTCTTGCTGTGTAGTTCAGGCTGGCCTCAAGCTAGCAGTGATGGTCCTGCCTCAGACTCAGGTGTGCGCCATTATACCCAGCACAGATTTTCATAATTAATTTATAATTGTGATAATTCCTAATGGAAAGGAAGTATATAAATATTCTCAGCTTATACATATTCTTCTGTGTAAATACATAGAAGTCCCTTGGAAATTAGTATTAAAGTGTCCACAAATCTTTTGAAGCTAGAGTTAGTACTAGGGTAAGACATGTTTGTGCAAAGCTTCTGGAGATCTACAGTTCTAATGCATGGTTTATAATTATGAGTTTTGTAATTAAACTTTGTTTTGTCATTTTATGGACATATTTATGGATTCTTTCTGCCCTGGCTGATGGATTGCTATATTTTTTTAATATTCTAGCTTCTAACTACATTGTGGAATGGAGAGAGAATTATTTTCTTGGAAAAATAAGAAATTCCAGGTCGACATGTCTAGAAAATACTCCCATCTCCCATCCTAGGGAACAAGCCCAGGGCTCTAGACACTTGTAGAGCGAGGTAGTTTCCTGGCTTTGCTGGATCCTTCTTTGTGGCAACTTCAGGGCTTTGGAGACTAACTGCCTTCCTGTGTTACTAGGATTGGACATTGGTCAGCTGTGTATATACAGGTTTCTCCTTTGTCCTGAAGCTAATTTAACATTTGTTCGTGATACCAGAGACCTTTGAGCCTACAGATTGTTCACTTTATGACAATGTTTGTTCACTTTATTTTGATTGATTATCTCAGCTTCGTATTATAGACTTTAAAACATTTTAGAGTGTTAATTTTATAACTTAATACTCCAGCAAATTGTTGTAATCATTTTATTTATATGTTGTTTTCTTAGCATGGCTCTTCCTTCCCTTCATGCCTCCTGTCTGTCTTTCTGTTTTGTGCTAAGGATTGAACCCAGGTCCTCACACATGCCAGGCAAGTGCTCTACACTGAGCCACACCCAAGTAGTCCTATCCTTGAGAGCAAGTAAACCAGAAGAAAAAGCTGCAAAAGTTTAATGATGAACATAGTCATTAAGGGATCAGATGGCAGCTTTAAAAAAGGTAACTAATCTACTGTAAACATTTTCACCACTGGCTGTGCTTTTCAGTGTGGTGAATAGAAATCTCATGTGTTTCCTTGTTATCATCCTTGCATATAACAGTTGTCTAAGACTTTGGTCTTAGAGTCTACCAGGAACAGATCAGGAAATGTGGTCTTGCTTCCCTTGAGTGTCCTCTCTTACTTACTGTAGTTCATAGTTCTAGGAGTTTGTATTTGACTCTTCTCCTTGCTTCTTTCTTCAGAAGTAGATACCTTTGGGAGTGTTGCTTGGTCCCTTCCTGCCTTTTGAATATTGTTTAAGAAGGGCTCTAGAGGGCCAGGGATTTAGCTCAGTGGTGCTGCTGCCTGCCTTGCAAGTGCAAGGTCCCGAGTTCGATCTCAAGTACCAAAAAAACCCAAAACAACAACAACAAAAAGGGCTCTAGAACATACATGGAGCGAGGTGGTTTCCTGGCTTCACTAGATTCTTCTTTCTAGGGACTTTGGGGCTTTGGACACTGCCTTTTTTTGTGTTACTAGGATTGGTCCTTGGCCAGCTGTGTATATACAGCTTTTTTGTCCTGAGGCTAATTTAACATTTATTGGTGATATTAAAGATTGTCAAGCTATGGATTGTTCACTTTATGTCAGTGATTATTCACTTTATTTAGTCATCTCAGCTTCATATTACAAACTTTAAAACATTTTAGAGTATTAATGTTTTATAATTTGTTACCCTAGCAAATTATTATAATCATTTTATTTAGTGTATTTTTTTTCCACTCTCCCTTTTTCCCTTCTTTCCTGTCTGTCTTTCTGTCTTTCGCTAAGCATTGAACCCAGGGCCTCCTACATGCTAGGCAAGCACTGTACACTGAGGCACACCCCCAGCCCATATTCAGTGATCTTTATTTTGCTAGATTCTTTAAATGTTTTAGGAGACCAGATCTCTGTCCTTTTAGAAATAACAACAATAGTAACAAGAAAATCTCATAGGGACTACGCTTTTATACTGTTATCTCTAATTCTTTGGGGTCTCAGCAAGATAGATGTTATCATTCTAGTTTTCAAATGAGGTCGCTGATGCTTAGACAGATAAAATAATTTTTTCAGATAAACTAATTTATACAAAGATAAATGAGGCCTTTGAATTATGCATTCCAGGCTAACGGTGAAGCCAATTTTTTTTTTATTACAAGAAATTATTTAGAGAGTTTGAAATAAAAATCTTTCCCAAGATAACTGGTATTGTATTCTAAAGTTAGTCTTCGATAGCCAGATTTTTAGCATCTTAGTAGGTGGTGTTCTTGCTCTTGTAACTTAAATGACTAACTTAAATTGTTAATTTTAGACCTGATTCTTATGACAGTAATGATTAATCATATTAGCTAATATGTATCACTTATTTTGTGCCAGGAATCACATCAAGTTCATAAGCATTAACTCATGTGAAGCCAGTAAGCATTGCCTGACATGAAGTAAACTCTCACTAAACTTAATTTCTTTACTGTTCTGAATAACATTTTCTAAGTTTCATAGTAATAAGTACCGCTAATATTCCTATTTTACAGTTTATGAAACTGAAGCACAGTGAGTTTCATAAGATCGCGAAGATAGTACCTCTGGATATTAATCCCATTAATCTTGGGTTTTTTTGGAACCGGAAATCGAACTCAGGTTCTGGCGTGGCAGGCGGTGGAATAATCCTGTATACTTTTGAGTCTGGAGTCAGTACTATGTTGTCTCCAAAACACATTTGAGCCTGATTAGCCTTTGTGATTAGTTTTGTTCAAGAATCATTACAGGATATTTGTTCTTCAGGAATGCTTATTAGGTTCAGAGCTACAATTTTTAGGTAAAGAGATTTTCAGTTAAAGAAGACTTCTTTCAAGACTGCGAAATTAGTACAATCAATTATCAGTCTAGTTGTATTCTGCAGACCAGTGAAAACAATTTAGAGAGAATTCTTATGTAGCATGTCAATGATAGGTTTTGCAAAGTAAGATAATTATAAAAATATACTCAGCACAGTTTTAAAAAAGAAAGATTGTGCCACTTGAAGAGGAAGGGCATAACAGTGAAAGGATAGTTGGTTCCTTTCACAAAGTGTGTAAACAATTTTGTTGTCCTTTGTTTCTTGTTCCTACTTATGTGAAAGTGGCTCTCTTGAGCTGCACATTGGTTCTTGTTCTGCTTTTGGAACCACTGTCCAAGAGGAAAACACTACTAAGTGCTCAGTGTTTGGCAAAAGCTTGAGGAAGAAAAAAGCTCCATGATTCTTTGTGATTTCAACCTCCTTTATTATGAATGTTCTAAAATGGAGAGAGAGGCTTTCTGTGTACTATAACTTACAAAAATACTTTTTTTTTTTTTTTTACAAAAATAGTCTTAATTTAGGCTTTTTTGAGATTGTTCCCAACAATTTTTGAAGCAAGTTTACTCTAGGATCTTGAAAATTTCTTTCTCTTTTTCTTTTCTTTCCTTTTTCTTTTATTAGTGACTAAATAACATGGACAAGCCCATGCACAAGGAAGTCTAAAGGCCAGTATCAAAACAGTGAAGCCATATCTTTTTTTTTAAAACATGAAACTTTAAAAAAAAAACAACAAAAAATAAACCACGAAACTTTGTTGGATCTGATTTGGATTGTGCTGGCAAATGGTTGAAAGAAGTGAATTGGGTCCCCACTTAGCAAATTAACTATGAATAATTATTTGAATTCATGAAGTCATTGTAGTATGGTAGAAAGAACACAGGATGGGAGATATAGCCACCAGGCTCTGTCTCTGTTGATTATTGGGCAAGCCACCTGGTCTCCTTTGCCAGGTGTCCTTAGATTGAAACAAAGAAAGAGGGAAAAGAGGGAATTAGATAACATGATACCTTAAAGCTCTATGAATTTGTAAGCTTATGTCCAGTTCCTTCAAATGATAGGTTTTCTATAGGATTTCATTCCTTTTGTGTCTTATATGATTTTGTATCTGCTTGTATGGTTTTTTTTTTTTGGTACTGGGGGTCGAACTCGGGTCCTTCGGCTTGTGAGTCAGGTGGCGGAACCACTGAGCTAAATCCCCGGCCAGTATTTTTTTTAAAAAATTACACTATAGTTGCTGGATGTATAGGATTTTTACCATCAAATTCAAAAGTATCTAGTGGGCAGACATATGTATACTGTTTCTAAGTCATTTTTATGTCTCCACAGGCACATGAGTGCTTTTTAAAATGTATTTGCCTTGGTTTGTATTGATTGTTTATATGATTCTCAAGTGATCCATTTAGAAAGTAGAATAGAAAATTAGGAAAGTTTGCTCTGTATTTCTGTGTGTGGACTATAAAGTATTTGCCCATTTATAAGTTGTTTAGGGGAAAAAGTAGTGCATATTTAAAGGATAGTTGGTGCTTACAGTACATATTATAAAAGTCGTAGTTTGATAACTTCATTGGTTATCAAAATAATGGTTTCATTTTCCTTATTAGGTTGTAGCCTTTAAAATTATTTCTTTTCTATTGCCATATTTAAAAGTAGTACTATAGTCATATTAAACAGTTAATGTATAAGGTATACTTACAAATGTTAAATGAATACAGTATATTTTCATGTCTGATATACACACTTTAAGACTATCTTGAGAGTCTAGTAATCGTCTCTCCTGCCCTCTGTAATTAGGGCAAACAGTGTGAATTCTAACCCTATTATATAACTCAGAGATTCTTTCATATTTTATTTGCAGAAGCATCTACTAATTTTAATAATATTCCTTACTTTAAAAGAAATTTAAAATAAGTATACTCATTAGTTTTCTCAAAACAAAAATGAAAAATTTTTTTTGCATTTATTTCCGTGTACTCATTTTGTCTTTCTTTAATCTTTTCCAAAGAAATACTGTTTCTTAAAGCCACTGCATTTTATCTAGGGCCTTTCTCCTTTACTCATACATTATAATGAGAGTCTTTATACATTTAACAAAGTAATTAAGAGGAAGGCTTCCAGTTATGCTTTCAGTGGAGCTAGTCTCATTTTAAAATTTAAGGGGGGGAAAAAAAAAAGACCCTTCATGTATGACCCTATAGGTAATGTCTGTTTTTAAAATCTATTGGAAGTAATCTAGCTCTGTTTCCATTTGCCAGTCAGTTTCTTTCCCAAGAAGAAATAAAAATGAATGTTATTTGATGTACTCACCACTTCCTTTGCAGTGGTCAGCCTATCTGCCAAAGTAGGTCTTAGGAGGTGTGCAGAGCCTGTGTTTCTGATCAGGTGCTTTTAACCCACAGGTCTAGTGTGTAGTTTCTCTTCTTGGACTGGCTGTACAGCTTACATTCCTGTGTTTATAATGTTGTGGGGGCTGGTTTCAGCTGAAGCTGATGTGATTGGTCACTTAGTCTGCAGGGGGGCCAATTAGCTCTGATCATGTGGAAAAGAATGCTGGTTTGTTAGGAGGTCTTTCCTTACCCAACACAAACCTTAACAACTCTGGAGAAAGCCTCCAGAACTGACTTGGAGAAGGGGTGCATTTTTTCCCTCTAATCAGGACCGGTTTTTAGTAAGTTTGCATAATCTTACTTAAGAGTTTATTTGCAAGTTCAAAGGGATAAAGTTCCCTGCAAGATTTCCTTTCAGTCGTCTTTCCTTATATAGCATGTTGAAGTGTGAGATATCTCCTTCACTAATCTTTTTTTCCACCATTTCTTTGGGGAAGATTTATTTGGATAAGGATGTTTAGGCATAAATTAATGAATCGATTTTCCTAGTTTTCTTTTCCTGTCCCATCTTGTAAGAATGACTATCATTAGTTCTAGAACCAGTAATCTAGGTACTTGAGTTACCTGAATTTTCTTTTTTAATTGCAAAGAAACAGACTTTCTAAAAAGGCTGTGTTAAGAGGCTTTGACTAGGAATAAAATTGTTACCTTGTATTTACTTATCTTTAAATAGCACAACTGTGTGAAAGACCTGAAGTTGTTGTGTAAAAATTGATTTAGTGATAGGGGACGTTTTACTGATAAGTGTAATGAAGTAGGGTAAAACATAGTGTTCAGGGAACATAAATTTAACTCAACATTAACGTAGTGTTTAGCTGGGAAATGTCTGTGATCTAGCTTGTAGCAACCTTGAAATGAGCTGAGATATGGCTTTGTAAAATACCTTAGTGAGCAGCACTTTTCTTGTCCGTTAGCTGCTAATTTTAAAACTTTGATCAAATGTCACATGTAAGAGGATCGAGAAACAAAGACTGATTGTTCGAAAAGTAAAATCATGGAAGGCCTGCTGGGAAAATTATTAATGTAGACCAATATAATGCTACTTAGAAAGGAAAATCCGCCTTTGTAGATTCCTCTCCTCCCCACAATTTAAAAAATATATTAATTCTTTTATTATTACCAAACATTTCAGTACAAGTTGAGACACAACATTGGAAATTTTGACCTTTGGAACTAGGGAAGGTAATGGCAGCAAGGGAGGGACTTGTGTGAGATTCATTCCCTGCATGTGTTAGTAGGAACTGTACTTTATATCACTTCACAGCCAGTTGATTGCCAGGAAAAAATCAAATAACAAAAATACTAGAGCAGGTGTAGTATAATACTGTCTTCCAGAAAACAGCAGCATTTGAGCATATCTGTCATGTATCTTAAGTAGTTGTTATAGTAAGCAAGATAGCAAAGGGTTTTACTCATCCCAGAATCCTCTTTCAAATGTACTCCATTTCAGAGTATATTGAGACAAAAATGATTCAGCAAAAATGGTTCTCAGTGAAACTGGAAAGAAATGTCTTAAGTGCAGTCGTTTTCTGACTGCTGAATTTTTCCAATTTTAAGGTCTGCTATTGTGGACAGCTCTGGAGTGCCCACTTGGGGCAGAGGACTCCCAAGACAGCAGCCTGAGCATTTACATTTATTTCTGGTTGAGGCTGTCAGGTTAACTAGGATGAAATTGATAGTGTCACAGATAATAAGCCATCTTCACCCAAAAACACATGGGCCCACCCATCAGAACAGAATTTGTGATTTCTGTTTTTAGGCCTTTCACAGTAAGGTAATTGGAGATGCCTCTAAAGTATCTCTTTGATGAGAGAAGATAGTTGCTAGGTACATTTTTATTGATAAATTTGTTTTTTATTTAAAATTATAATGATTGGGCCGGGGATTTAGCTGAGTGGTTTCGCCACCTGCTGCGCAAGCGCAAGGACCCAAGTTTGATTCCCCAGTACCAAAAAATAAATAAATAAATAAAATTATAATGATTAAGCCATGCGTCAGACTACGTTAAAAAATTTTCATTTTAAATTAAACCCAGTTTTCAGTCCCTAAAGGTATTTGATTTTCTTTCTGGCTACAGTAATCCATTATATAATCCACAAATATACTGCATTGTTCTTGAAAAAAATAAAACATTTGTTGCAGTACATATCCTGCTTATGTCATCTCCCATCCATACTCCTATTTGTCTATCCGTCCGTCCTTCTGTCCTTCCCTTTCTCCCCTTGGCCCTGCCTTTTGCTTTTCTTTTTGCAGTGCTAGTGATTGAACCCAGAGGGCTGTGCATGCGAGGCAAGTGCTCTTGGGTTCCTTCTTCCGTAGGGTACTTAGCTTTCTTTCAAAGGTGTTTAGTTTCTTTCAGTTCTGCTTGCTTAAGCCTGGCTAATGATTGCCTGCCCCAGAGATGTCAGGGAGTTTGTGGGTATGTGTACCAGCTGTACCAGCAAACGTGAACAGGAGGACTGTGGGGAGTGGGACAGATTCCAGCTGCTCAGGAGCCTTTCTGTCCGTCTCCAGCCAGAAACTGCTGTGTTTTCAGTGCTCTTGTTAACCAACAGAGTGGGTTGTTAGCCCTCCATGGCTGGGCTGCAGCTCAGTGGGTATAGAATTTAAATTTTTCTATCTTACCATCCCAAGTTTTATTTATAAGTAAATTGTTGGGGGAGGGTAAATATCAATACTTGGGTGAGATTCACTTTCAGGCTTTTCTTTAGTGTGAGGAACTATTTTTAGTGTTGATCTGATAATATGTATCTGAATAAAGGAATATAAAGTCCCTTGTTGTAAAAGTTTGCACATAAACAAGCTTCAAAGTCTGCCCCATAATTCCGCTTTTGCTCTTGGAGATTGGGCACTTGTAAGCTCCAAGTCTCACAGCTGTAGATTTTGTTGGCTGAGTGCCTCCTTGCTCCATCTGAAGTTTTCCATAAACACCACTTTTGGCTGTGGGTCAAACATGCACACAGGTGCCCTTTTACTGCTCTTTCTCCTTAGGAAGTCCACTCATTCGGACCAGGCAAACACCAACACTGCATTTTAATTCAATTTTTAAAAGAATCTTATTTAGATTTAATACATTAAAGCATTTATCATCACTGGGGACATTATATGTGACATGCTGCTTACATATTTTATTTAGCACCTTTTATACATAGAGTTACTGTGATGTAAGAATGAATTGTATTATATAGGTAGTATAGTGTTCTTGTAAAATGGTCATGGTTCCTACATTGAATTGAAAAAATATTTAAGTTTATGTTACTGTATCTTGAAAGTCATAAGCAACTTCAAGACTGACGAAAGCTTTAGATCCTTTTCCTTAAAAAATACTAAAAACCATCCTGGCTCATAGTGTGCTTCTAGTTCAGGGATTTGCAACCCTGAGCTCATTCATTGACTGCAGGTTAGGAATATTTGGTTCGGGCATGAATTTGTAAATTATTTAATTAGGTTTACTTTCTTATGGTACTGGGGGTTGAACTCAGGGCCTATATCCTGAGTTATACACACACACACACACTTTATTTTTTATTTTGAGACTGGGTCTCCTTAAGTTGCTAAATTGCCCACATTAGGCTTGAATGTGCTGGGATTACAGGTATGCACCACCATGCCTGGTTTAAAGTTACTTCTAAATAAGTTTGTTTATGATTTAATGGTTACGTTTGTTTGCTTGCTTACTGATTTATTTATTTATTTATTTAATTTTATGGTTTTTTTGGTACTAGGGATCGAACTTGGTTCCTTGTGCTTGGGCAGCAGGCGGCGAAACCACTGAGCTAAATCCCTGGCCCTGATTGATTTATTGATTAAAAGAATTCATTGATTTTTTTTCTTTTTGGTACAGGGGATTGAACTCGGGTCCTTGTGTTTGGGCAGCAGGCAGTGAAACCACTGAGCTAAATCACCAGCCCTGATTTATTGATTGAGATAAGGCATCATTTTGTAGCCCAGGCTGGCCTTTAACTCACTGTGTAGCTCAGGCTGGCCTCAAACTCATGATCCACCTGCCTCAGCTTCCTGAGTGCTAGAATTACAGGCATGTGTAACCATTCCTGGTTTAGGGGCATATATTTTGAAAGTATTTCTGCAGGAAGATTGTAATAAATTTAGTTCCTTCTCCCCGCCCCCCTTTAAAGATATAGACAGACTGTCCCCAAATTATACCTTGCATGACATGTCTACTTGTCAGATTTGGTTCCTAGATTGTCCTCTTTCTATTGACATTTTTGTAGATTTTTCTGGTTGCTTCCACTGGGCCTGATTTGTGAGTAAACCACTGAGAACACTGTAGTAGAAATAAACCCCAGCTTAGGTTGAATGCCTAGGTTCTGTTTCTGATTTGGTGTGACTCAGCTGTGTGATCCATCTTAAGAAACTATAAGTAGGGGCTGGGGATTTAGCTCAGTGGTACCGCACCTGCCTCACAAGCACAAGGTCCTGAGTTCGATCCCTGGTACCAAAAAGGAAGGAAGGAAGGAAAGAAAGGAAAGAAAGAGAAACTACAAGTATCCTTTTCCTCACAGCAACATTAGAGATGGTGGTGTTTGACTTAATCTCCTGTGGTTATTAAGAAGATCAGATGAGGTATATCAGTGCATTGTGACAACTGTAATGTATCAGGTCATCTGTTTACATGTATGTCCCTGGATTATGGGCCTGGAGAGCAGGTGCCATGTCTAAGTCTTTTCTTTGTTTTTAATCCTATTTGTCTAATTGTGTTTGTTTATTGAGGAGGCGATCGTGTTGATGTTTGCTAGAGGTTTGAGTAAAACAAATGGTAACGTAGTGCCACTTCTTTGGGAAAATATTTGGCAGTAATAACAAATATTGAACAAGCTATGACACAGTAGTTTCATACTTAAGTATATTATATACCAAACAGAAATGCAAACATGTGCTTACCAAAATTTGTATCTAAGAATTTTCATTAAAGCACAATTCATAATATCAAAAAACTAGAAATAACCTAAATTTGTGTCAGCCGTAGAATGAGAGTAATACAATGATGTCCCGTATGGCAGTGCAGAATACACCCCTGTACTCTGTAGCAGGGTGAATGGATCTGCATGAGTTCAGTGAAGGAATTTAGATATAAATGAATATTCCATTTATATAAAAGAGTTCAAAAGAGACAAAACTAATATTTGGGAATAGATGTCAACATATTTACTGTGGAAGAGTGTGTGAAGATTTTTGAGAGCTCCTGATTTTTCTTTTTAAAAATTTTAGTTTGAATCAAGGTCTTGTCAACTTGCTT